TCTAGGCTCGATTATTATTTTCGTTATTATTGCTCTCAAGGATATCTCCTTTGTCAGACTTTTGCCCATTAAAAAACATGTTTTTTTTTAATAAAATGATCAAAACATGCTACATCTGGCCAACAAAATGGCAAAGACAAGCAAAGAGACCATGATTGTATTTGAAATGTACTTTTAAAGATTTCATTTACTGGCGTTTTATTATGAAATTACTGTATGGTAAAATAAAACTTTGTAAAAAAGCGAAGCAACAACAACAACAAATGAGCCGCGTCACGACAAAACCAACGTAATGCGGTTGCGACCAGCGGATGCGCAGGCTGGTCTGGATCCATGCTGGTCGCAAACCCATTATGTTGGTTTTGTCATGGCGCGGCTCAAATATTGCATGATTGAATGATACACAGAAATGTGTTTGGCTTGACATAGCAGATTTTCTCATATTCAGAAAACAGTGAAAAAGGTTATTTGCACGCAAACCGGAATAATTTGAAACAAATATTGATATTGTAAAAAGAACGCATTTGCATGTCAGATGTACATAAGCCGACAAAATAACTTAAAAGCTGCAGATGTTACCGGAAGTAATAGTTTGATAGTTTGTATGTACACTGTGTATAAACCTAGTTTTTAAGAAGTGTATAACAAAAAAAGCTTGGTCTACATTTCAACATTAAAATCTAAGTTAAAGAGGAGCAGTTTAATATGGGTTCAAGATTAAAATACACGTAGTGTTGTTTAGTATTGGACCTACAAATAAGAAGATTTTTCATCACTATTTAACACATACCAGTGCTGCTTTTGCGACTCCGTAAAATGGTATTTAATTACACGGCCGTGTATATAATAAAATTAAAATTCTAAATTATAAGATATAAGTCTTTTTAAAGAGTATAAAGTTTATTCATATATCGACATTAATTTTAGTTTCTACTATTCCAGAAATATAGCGAAAATGAATGTGTTTTATAGAATGTTCATAATTATGCTGAACTATTTCAAGAAGCAGTGCAGTTTTTGGATTTTGGGGGTTTTGTTGTTGTTATTTGTGTGCGTTTAAATGGATATTATCGGTGATCACATTGCAGTTTTGCAAAAAAAAATTATCTAACCTTTAATCGAAAATTATAGAAATATCTATAGTTATATATGAATTTTCGCTGTTAAAATCACAGTGAAGTTACCAACTGAAGGCTTTTTTTATCTTCTCTTATCTCATTCCTTGTATAATTATTTGTTAATTACACTGTGGTCGAAGACACCTTTATTTACCATCAGACAATTTTACTGTTTTGGGGAAGGGCTCGTGATTTAAATGTTCGAGAGAGAAATTATCTCCGGACATAATAAAAATTCTAATTAATCTCGGGTCTTATAGTGAAAATAAATGTCTTTCTACGTATTTATAATATCCCGCAGATTTTCCGAGAAGTGCAAAAGGAAAATGATTGTGCTAATGACTTAATAATTTAATGATATATAAAATTCCGAAAGTTATGGACCGCCAATTAAGAGATGATGAAAATTAATGTACTTTTGTTAAAACACATTTTATATGTTTATGTATGTCGCATCTATGTATACACTGTCACGTGATTTGCGATAAAACACAGGCGCGAATTTAGTTTTTATCAAGGGGTTACATATATATTACAGTAGGAGGGGGACATTTTACTAGTTGTCCAGGCGTCATAAAAGTGACTCAATGATTAAGTTTATATAAGATTTTGGGGAAAGCGTGTAGTTTATTTAAACTCTGGTACTTTTTCTAGAACTTAACTATTTTTATAAATTAAATTTATGCTAGATTAATGCTTATAGAGTATTTTAGACACAATTAATGGATAAATAAACTTTTTTTACTTTTATTTCATAGGAGGCTTACAGGATCAAGTTATTAGATAAAGGTCAAGAACATGTTGATATACAGTTATTATGTTTTGTGGTGTAGTACTTGAAAAAGACGCGTTTTCCTACTTGTGCCTAGTTACTTTAAACCTCAGCAACATCATTTGAGCCGCGTCACGACAAAACCAACATAATGCAATTGCGACCAGCATGGATCCAGACCAGCCTGCGCATCCGCAGGCTGATCAGGATCCATGCTGTTCGCTTACAAACTCTATAACAAGTAGAGAAACTGATAGCGAACAGCATGAATCCTGATCAGACTGCGCGGATGCGCAGGCTGGTCTGGATCCATGCTGGTCGCAAACGCATTACGTTGCAAATTTTGTCGTGACACGGCTCATTTAATATTAAGTGTAAAATCCCACTTTTGTTTTCCATAGGTTTAGTCATATATTTGTAACAAAAAGGCACTGTCTGCTATCTTTCCGACAAAACGTATCAAGCAATATGTAGTATCATAGTGGTTAAAGGGATATAATCCAAATATCATTTTATCTTTATGGTGGACAGTTTTATCTGTTCGGCATTTCAGTCGCACAATATTAGTTATAAATGTATCATAAAAGTTTTATTGTTTTATCTAAAATGCATTAATTGGAGTGTATCATATCTTCTCTACATTAACCATTTTACTATACTTTGATAATTCCTAACGTCACTGTACTAAGGTTGCAGCAATATAAAGTACCATTAAGGTCGTATCTTATGGTATAATTGTATTCATACCATTAGGGTTGGATAATTGTGGTCGTACCATTAGGGTTGTATCATTATTAATTGTACAATTATTGATATCGTTTTTTTTAAAGGTCGTACCACTAAGACACTAAGTAACATTAAGACCGTACCATTATGTTCATAACATTGAGGTAGTTCCATTTAGATTGGATCTTTAAGGTCGTACAAGTCTAAAGTACCATTAGGGTTGTATCATTATTAATGGTACAATCATAAGACCAATCAAACAGTCGTACAATTATGACACAAAGTAACACTAAGGTCGTACCATTATGTTCATACCATTGTTGTAGAATCATTAAGATCGCATCATTAAAGGCACTTTATGCCTCAGAAACAAATCATTTTTCCCCTTGTTTAGTAGTGGTAATTGAGAGTTTATAAAGTTTAGATGATGGTTTAGAAAATGTAAAATGTTTATCACATGAAGAAAGTGACACTGAATTTGAAATTATTTGTCATAAAAGTAGCAAACGGTAAACAAAGAAGTATTTTGACTTCCATTCAAAATACAAAAACGCAATATACGTTTACATATTGCCAATAAAATAAGAAGCAAATAATCAGTCAGCGCATCATTAAGGAAGTAGCATTTATGTTCTATCATTAAAATAAAAATATAGTTACAAGTATTTCACATGATTTCTACTTTCTCACGCTAATTTCTATATATAAAAATAGTTTGTTGTTTTTCGTGTTGTTTTTTTTGTTGTTGTTGTTGTTTGTTAAATGATCTTTGTCTACAGTAATAGTACATAAAGAAGAACATCCGGAAAAAATAGCTACATGTATATAAAACACGGACATGATAAAAGACAGATGTTTAGAAAATTCCCATCTTAAAGCTTTGTCAAACGTGTTAATGTTATTTCAGTTGTGTTCAATGTTCGATTTAGCTCGTCCTATATACGAAACGTTTGTTTAAAGGCACATTATGCCCCAAAAATGTTTTTATTTGTATTTCTAAAATCTTTTTTAATGTCCCGTTATAGTTTCCAAAAAGTTACTCATTGGCCAATTACCTCATCCATCTTTTTCTCCTGTTGCTTTTTTTTGCAGTTAGTATAGTTATAGTGATTTTGTATGGAAGTAAAAATACTACTTTGTTTACATTTTGCTACTTTTATAACAAATAATGGGTTTGCGACCAGCAAGGATCCAGACCAGCCTGCGCATCCGGGCAGTCTAAATATGATCCATGCTGTTCGCTTACATACTCTATAACAAGTAGAGAAACTGATAGCGAACAGGATGGATCCTGATCAGACTGCGCGGATGCGCAGGCTGGTCTGGATCCATGCTGGTCACAAACGCATTATGTTGGTTTTGACATGGCACGGCTCAAATATTTTCACATTCAGCTCTTTTTTGATCAGGTGATAAGTATCTAACCCGCTCTTAATCCATTATCTCGACGCTATAAAACTCATGTTTGACCTTTCTAAAGGTTTGAAAAATGAATTAATTTCTGAGTCATAACGTGTCTTTAAGTAAAGCAATGCTATCTATTTTGTATTTTGTGGTTTTCATATACATGTAGATACAACTTTACTCTCTATAATATAACGGAAATAACTGATGATTAAAGCTAGTATTTCATGTAAAACATAAAATTAAAGATTAATCTCTAGTAAATAAACGCATTATTAAAATATGTTTAAGTTTCTGGTGTTCTATGATTTACACGCTATATGCCAATTAAAATTCAATTTCAAATTGTAAGTGCGTAGCTACTGTATGGTAGTTAGATTGGGCCCACTTTATTTCATTTTATGTTATGTTAGACTGATGGATTTATTTCATGAAATAAAATGATATAAAAAAAAAACTTTAATTAACATAAATATCAATATATTTAATATCAATACAAATTTACGCTTGATACATATTAAAGTATGAAATCATCGCTCATTTGAATTGATAAAATATCAATATATCATTAAACCCTACAAAAAGAATAGAGTGTTGGCAATTTGGCAGGTTATCAGATGGGGTATTATTCAGTTGTAACGAACTTTAAGTTTGACAGATTATCTGTTCCCTTTGTTTTATTGTATAAAAGTATGAATAGTCCTTCTACAGCGAATGATACGTTTAATTGTTACCTTATTGTCCATAAAGCAATTGTAAATTATCCGACGAAGCGTTGATTAATGAACCTACCAGCTTGTATTAAAGTACTTTGAAATGGTGCTGATGTATTCTGGATTTTATGTTATTTTGACTTTGTCAATGAAATCAAAGTGATCCACTTTTCAAAGGAGTTTTTGCTTAATGTAATTAAGCAACTGTGCAAAATAGAAAGTAGGATTGTATATGAAAAACATTCATGGAAAAGAGTGGTTAAAGCTATGGAAAATATATCGGATGCAGATAAACATAGCTTAAGCAAATCTGAAACAGAAACGCTTGACGAAGACAAAGCAGAGCTTCTACGGATCAGTAAAAAAGTTAGTTTAATGCTATATGACTTAAAGGTGAACAAAGAAATAGCCGAACAGAACAGACATATTGTACAAAATGCGCGAACAAATGCCAGAGATAATATTAGAAAGTTACGGATGGAGGTGAATGATTTCTTTAACAAACTAGAAAATGCAGTGGATAAGAAAGTTGAAAACATGAGAAGTGATGATTTTCAGACTCTCTCAATACTTTCTTCGGAGAATGAAGACTTAAATAAGAAACTTGTTATTATCAGTAACTACATTGACAAACATATAAAAGAAGGAAAGGTGGTTACAGATATTGATAAAGTAAGAAAAGAAATAAGAGATCTTGAAACGAGTATAAGAAAGTTGAGTATTGATAACAATGTCCACGAATACACATTTGAAGCGGAAGAGAGAATCAAAGACATGATGAAACACGTCAAGCGTCTAGGTGATCTTATTCTCGAAACAGAAAAGAAACGAACAGTAATACGAATGTCTGAAATCAGTCTAAATGATAAATGTGAAAATGAACGGCTGATACCATTTCTATCTGGGTTAGCGTTTGTGTCTGAAGATCACATAGTCGCCACAGATTATGAAAATCGATGCATTAAGCTAATCAGTGTACCAGACGACAAAATAGTATCTGTACTTCCGGTATTGACAGAACCCTGGGACGTAGCAAAAGTAAAGTCAGATCAGTTGGCCGTCACACTTCCATTAAAGAAGAAGATACAGTTTCTAACTGTAAAATCGACTTCTCTTGAGCAAGTGTCGGAAATAAATCTCAAGTCGGAGTGTCGCGGTATAGAGAGTAAACGCGAAATGCTGTTTGTTTCATTTATCGAACCAGCAAAAGTTGAAATAATCGACTTAAAAGGACATGTGAAAAAAAGTTTTGAGTTCGATGAAATGGGGTATGAACTGTTCAGCTGGCCGGGTTATATCGCTCTTTGCCCGGAAAATCCCGGAAGTTCGAGGAGTTACATGTATGTGTCCGACAAAGATCGGAATACGGTCACGTGTCTTTCTGAAGAGGGCAAGGTCATTGCTGTATATGGAGGAGACGTTTTAAAAGGACCACGTGGTGTGTCAGTCGACAATGGTGGACATGTATTTGTGTGTGGTAGGGCCTCAAATGATTTGTGTCAGATAATGGTAAAGTCAGGTAAAATAGAATATCTACTAGAGAGAAGTCAAGGGCTGAAACAACCGCACGGAATTGTGTGTCACGGGAATCGTGTGTTTATTAGTAGCTGTGGAGAGAAAAATATTAAGAGTTGGGAAATCGTTTGAAAACAAAAATAAAATGATTACTCAGAAGTAATAATAAATGACAAGTTGTGTGTTTTATATATGATTTTTATGTTTATAAAATAAAAAGCTTAACATTAAATATCTAAATTCTGTAACTCAACCTTTTGCCACTTTGAAAGAAAAATATTTATATTAAAGTTAATTAGTTAACCGACTAGACAAGACTTTAAAAGGTGGGCAAAAATATAAATATTTCAACTATTTATTTCGGAAAGACACAATTGATATTTACAGTTTCTGCGTACCATAGTAATGCATTTTACTCGTCTTTTTATTTGTTTTGAACAATATGACCATTTTTGTGTACAAAAACAAAACAATCATCTAGTATCTAGAGATATTCATGGTCCTAGATATTGGTCCATTGTTATTTTTTTTTTTTTTTTTTTTTTTTTTTTTTGGTCTCCTACCGGTCAGTCACTTCGACAGATTACGAACAAAACAAACAATTGCAGCCCTTGTGGCTTAGGGGTTGCCTCTAATGATTGACGCATCAGAAATGCAATCACCGTTTATCCCTGTGTGATTGTAAGAGGCGACTAAATGGGTTCGAACAGTTATGCATCTCTTAGCTCCAGCATGTGAGGTGGCTTTGATCCTAAGTGTTTTTAACATCTGAGGTTAGCCAAAATCGTGTTTCCTGTGTCGGTGCCTATATAGTGTATTGGTACGCCGTAAAACCAAACAAACAAACGATTTCCAGTGCCGTAAACAACCCTCTGACAAGAGTAATATTCGTTGTTTTGCGTAATTTGTTGCAGTGCATATATGGAATTAAAAATGTTTACATACCACTTTTCATTTTTATCTATTTTGATGAAATATTTTATAAATTTTTTCCGTGGTAGGTAAATTTGGATTTTATGTTACATAGATAAACAACTTTATGCGATACTGTCCTAATTTGATACAATAATATAATGATAATTTCACTCGTGACACTGGTCGAACGTTTGCACGGTAACACCCGAATAAACACCGGATTGGCCTCAACTGATATGATGATTTTCACACGATTGGTAAAAACGGTGGTAAGTTAAGGTGTAATTTAACTTTTCTAATTTGATATTTTGATAATCGTCTAATGACACCTGATAATACTGGTCTTTCTCGGGCTAAGACGTAATAAATTAATGGTTCGCGGTAACACTACTTAATACTATTCTTAATAAGAGTTTACTCGGATCATGTGTAAATGGTGCGGGTGTGAAAAGAAAAACAAAATTGGATACCGGTACGGTTTGGACGTATTCACATCCGTATGACTGAGCACGAACCGGATATAGTTATTGTCTGCTTAATTAATTTGATCGTAATAGAAACAATGATGATATTTAATATTCCTTCTGGGCTTGAATTTATTTAATACTGTATAGTTAGTGAATATTGGTTTGAACGGACACATTGGTGTACTTTGTCTTGTTAAAACACTGTAATTGGTATGTTTGTTTGTTTGTTTCATTTTACGCCTTTTCCCAACAGTCTTTCAGTCAGATAGGCGGGTAGTTTCCTAACCATCGTTCCTGGAGAGTTACACCAGTACTAAACTACATTCCTCCGCGCTAAACTACCAATGCGTCTCCCCGGGGATAGAACCCACGCCAGAGAGGTAACTGGATTAGAAGTCAACGACTCTAACCCCTCGACCACGGAGGCAGTTGTACTAATCTGGCTCGGACCGAAAATAGTGATACTGGCTCAATTCACCACACTTGGTCCCGGGTGCAACAGAGCGTAATAACACTCTTATAATACAACAAAACCTTCATACAATCTTTTAATATATATGCGTTCCCCTATTAATCGTTTATTCACAAATGTTTATTCATGATAAAAGTGCGTTTCAACAAACAAATATATTTTTTTTACAAAAAAGGTAATGGATAATCATAAGATTTTGGATTGCTTCATTCAAAGTATGAAGGCATTTTAATCACCATTAAATGAATTAAATACAAAACATTCAATCACGTTTTAAACTTGTAAATTTTCATTAAGATCAATACTTAAGAAGTAATATTACTCATAAATCGTTCGTGCATTCTTCGCTTGAAAACATACGTAATTTAAAAATGGTCGTCTTTATTTAAACTCAATCGACTAGGTTGTTCTCTGATTTGCGTGGGTTTAAACGAGAGAAAATTTGACGTAAGTTTCTGACAAAATAAGTGGCTAAGAAGTAGTTTCTCCTCGAAATGCAGTCGTACCTAAGAAATGATAATTAAGATCATCTTTAAAAGGCATGAGGATGATAATGTATGTATCAACTTTAAAATCTAGACTGTAAACTGAATTAAACTATTCAATTAAAAAAAATCAGGAAAACAAAAAATGCTTTATTGCATGTTTGAGTGTTTGAAAAAAGAATACTTCTATTATCTATTAAAGGCCTACGGAATAGATATCCATTTAGTAGCGCGCTTTATGAACTAGTTAAAAATAATAAAAACAAAACAAAATCTGAATAAATACAAATGTATCCGATTATCAGAAAAGATGTTCATGTTGCACTCCATTGTATCCATTATACATTGTACTATTTCTCTTATACGTTCTTTTATACGTATATTGTCCTTTCATATGTATTTTATTGTCCTATTATACGAATGTTATTGTCATTTTATATGTATTTCAATGTCATGAGAACACACTCAGCTTTATCAAACACGCAGAGTCTACCATCTGGTAAAACAGCAAGATTGTCAACTTTATGTAACATTTCCGGCTTATTAAGATATTCCTTGCGGTAAGATTTATCACTCACGTGATACAACGCATCTTGATACGAAGACGTTTGAAAATGCATCAGTACGTTTCCATTCCTGTCAAATCGAGCTTCCTCGAACTTACAGTTCAACGGACTAAGAAAGTTGGAAGGAAATGAAAACCGTGTTTCATGTTCTCCGTTATCCCTAACATCTTCACAAATTGTGTTCCCGTCTTTATCTGTACATATGGCAACTATTTCTCCATCTGGAGACTCCAGAATCTTCTTCACAGATAATTCACGCACGTCGTGATCGGTGACAACTTCAGCGCAGGTTGATGAATATATCTTTAAGTTTGGCTGTAGAACTGGCTTAACCACTATTAATCCTTTATTGTTGATTTCAAAGTCAAAGCCGGGACCTTCAGGTATAGGAATCTTCCGCAATTCTCCACAAACAAAGTTCCCTTTCTCTAAAACGGCGACATATATACCGTCAACGTCTTTTTTGGATAGAGACTTGAGTTTAGCCTGACCTATTATAGACGATGCGTACATCCCTGGGTACACAGCTAACATAATTGTGTCTTTCCTCCCTATTGCAAGCCTAACAATAGTTCCGTCTGTCAATTTATCAAATCTTCTCTTGTACTCTGACTCACCATCTTCACTGAATGATTCAATTTCTGCAGAGACACTGGGGCTGGAATAGGACCGCATAGAAATGCGTTTCGATGCTCGAGAAATATGTTCCTGTTCTTCGTCAATTTTCAACCAAACAGTGACTGTCTGGCCCGTAACCTTGCTTGTTTTGTAAGCTTCGAGAGTCCATTTTGGATCAACAAACTTCGCAAAAATGGGTGATCTTTTTAGTGAGAAATCATTTGACATATTTGCTCTGACTTTAAGCATTTGTAAAGTGCTTTGATCTATAGGCCCTTCTTGAAGTGGCATCATGTCAAAAGCCTTGCTTTTTCTGCTAGTCCACGGACAAAGGTTCTGTGTTACCCTAATAGTACCAAGTTCTTTAGATAACATTCCTAAAATCCCTTCATTCATAAAGAATCTGATTTCCATTTTGTAACCCTGTCCAAACCGGTTTAATTTATCTCCTTGTATCTCTTCCCATCGGCTTTCAAGTTTAGCTTTATACAGAGTACTTTCAGCATCATTTCCAAAATTAAGCAGATTTTCGTTCAGATTGGACATGGCCTGAGCTCTAGAATATTTGTTATGCATTTCAGTTCGGCATCGACCCAGTCTACCTTTTATTTCATCTGCGTGATCTTGTAATTCGGAAAGCATTCTATTCTTCTCTTTAGTAATTCGATCAATTAAGAGTTGCACTTGAGTTTCAATGTGCTTCTTTGTTGCATTAACATTATCTTTGCAGGCTTTACTCACTCGTTCTATATCATTCAATGCTTCTTTAGTTTCGGCTAGATATTCATTCAATCTGCTTTGTACATCTGAGATGGCTGTTCTGGACGGCGCAGCTGAATCGGCCAGATCAGTGACCACGTGATCTATATGTCTTTCATCTTTACATCTGAAGCAAACACAGCACTTGCAAGCATCGCAGTAAAGAAGGAGAGACTCTGTTGGGTGAATATCACAGGCGGTGTCACGTTTCGGTAAAATATCACATAAAATAGAATCATGATTCCGATGTATAGGGACAACGTTTGTCACACCATTATGCAAATGATTAGACGAGCAATGCTCGCACATGCGCACTTGACAGCTGATACAAGTAACTGTGGCTAAACACTTTTCGTCGTCTGAGCAAAATTTACATGAACCGCGAGAAATCTTGTTTTCATTTTCGAGCATATGAACCTGCCTAACAAGATCTTGGTAGAAAACATTGGACGGCATCTGTTGAACATCGTTATTTGGTATCTGAATAGGAATCGAACATGCCGGGCACCTTTTTATCTCGGTATTTTTTACAGTGTCTACATAATTCGCTAAACATTCGAGACAAAACACATGTCCACAATCGACTTCTTTCGGCTCTACGAGTCTGTTATTACATAATTCACAATTAAGCGATTTTAAAAGTTCCTCTGTCAGTGCCTCCCCTTTCGAATCTCCATTCGAGCGCCTGTCGCAACAAGTTTCCTCCATAGCGTTATTCAAATATATATAACACTGTTATATCCTGAATTAACTTTATATTAACGTTAAATTAACGTTTCCGTTTCTTTTCCTCGTATTCGAAGGTCATTAGGATTTTGTTTCCGCACACTCATGTATGCGACTGTTATCGTTCAGACTCCCGGTTGTGGTAAATCGAATTTCCTGAAAACATATATAATTTTGTTATCTATTAAGTGAGTTAATTAGTAAAGTGTGGACAGATCCTTAAAATCTAATACATTGCACAACCTACATCGGTTTTAAAACAGAAATTGTATGTACATTTACAGAATAAAACCATATTCAAATATAATTATATAAAAAAACATATAGAAGTAGAGGTATTCTAGATTGTATACATTATACATGCCGATATGATTTTACAATTTGAAAAGAGTTCTTAAACTATTTAAAAACGTCTGTCCTCAGCTATACATGTATTAATGAATTTAAGCATGGCGAGGCGTGATAAACTAGTGCGTATATAAAAGACATCTCATGTGATTTAAATGTCCGTGTTATAGACAAAGAAAATGATGTAACATGCTACAAAAACATACTGTAATAATGATGTAAATCAAATTAACATTATTACGTCAAATTCAAAGTTGAATGCACAGTTTAAAGGCACATTATGCTTTAGAAATTAATATTTGTTTCCTTCTTTAGGAAAGGCAAACATGAGTTTTATAACATTTAAATAAGTTTTTTTTTTCAGAATGATAGATGCTTTTCACATCAGGAAAGTGATGCTGAATTTTTGATAACTTGTTTTAAATGTATCTAAAATAGTATGTTGACTGCCATACAATTTACTATACCAATATAATTACATGTATACTAATTGCCAGAAAGCGAAATATGGAAATATTATAACAAGGCATCATAATTAAAATCTTTTGAGAATGAAAATAAAAGTACTTTTATCAGTACTTTTTGGGCACAATGGGCCTTTAACTGCAACACTGTGTATATCTTTATTATTTACATAATACATTAAATTAGTGTTAACTTTCGAGCATGTAACGTTATGTTTATTACGGTTGTAATTAACACTCACGTGGTTAAATTCTGAACGTTGTGAATTATACTGTTTTATCAATTTGTTTGTTAATACATCTTTTACACAAATATGAATGTTCTTTTAATTTTGTTTCTAAACTTGAGATTAAATCGACATTACTGACATGAGTGACGTCTTATCATTAATTTTTTGGCCAAAAAAAGAAACAAAAAGCGAAACAAAACAAGCAAATTAGCTAGGAATAAGAATCTGTCAAAACTTTTAAGTGCTTTAATTTTTACATTATGGCTGTAATACACTTACAAAATAAATACAATTTTCATCATCATCATCATCATCATCATCATCATCATCATCATCATCATCATCATTATTATTATTATTATTATTATTATTATTATTATTATTATTATTATTATTATTATTGAAGCACAATAATTATTCGATTGTGTTTATAAAAGCCGGCTGAAAATTACATTTAGATAACAAATTAAATCATATTCCTAAATCACAAATTTGAGATTCTCAATTCATCTTTTTACCCTGTTTATAGACCATTTGCATTGTTAGAATTTTTTTAAAGTGAAGATTAGATACCTTAAATCGTTTTTGATTTTTTCTTTTGTGCTTTCGGGCGTTTTTATTTTTTTTTCGTTTTTTTTTTCGCTCTCGTGGTGTTTCTTCAGGCTATTTTACGACATCGACGCCTAATTAGTTAATTGCTTTAAGATATAGTTTACGAGTACTTTATAATTCAATATGAATTAATAGCCATGGTTTTTCGGGCAAATTCATTAACTGGACAATCTCGTTTTATAGCACAATACAATGTATGTAATAGATAATTAAGTATTTGACCCTATATAATAAACATGGTACACAGTAAAACCCATGCTGTTTCAAAAGCTTACAAAATTTACTGTTTTCCGGTATTTACTTTTTAAGGCTTTGAAACAAATCAGTGTTCCGTTGTCTTTTTGTTATGTTTTTCACTTCTGTTCAGCTTATTTATTTGAAACATACCGACCGGTAATATAAATCGATACTGATCGATTTAAGTAAACAATGATCAAATCATAAAACTTTTGTTTTTCCCCCAAATCTTTACACGATATCCTTTTTTTCTAAGCTATGCAAGTTTTCGTTTTCATCGTACGTTTAATAAACACAATATAATTCATACTAAGCAACAACATACAAATATCAAAGGTCTTTATGTGAGTTATATATACATATATGTTCAGAAACACGCATAACTTTCTCAATATATTTACATATTGCGTTCATAAACACCATTAATAAATGACAAATCACGCGCGGGCAATGTAAATATAAGGTTTTATCAGATAGATCTATATGTTAAAATTTCATGTTAACCCTGCCAAATATAGGGCACATTGTAATTTGATTTTCTATTTCAACCGAAACATTGATACAGTTCATTAAATTTAAAAAAAAAAATAAGAGAATTTATTGATTTAGATAGATCTACATGTAAAGTAAAGAAAGGAGAAATAATGACAGCATCTTCCAATTAAAGATATATATAATCATGAAAATAAAATCCTACCCTTCATGTTATTCCCGCAACAGAAAAGGTTTAAATAGTAACATTTAATTCCGCCATCGTGGTGAAATTTATAAATCGTACATGTGACTATCTTTATTTAAAGAGCATAGGTTAAGTTTGTTTAAGCGACAAGTAAGACTGACAAGTGTATAGTGTATGAGAAGTGAGGCCCTGACCGATGACTTGCTGATTTTACTACTTCGTGTAAACATCACAGTGTAAAAAGCTGTTAACCAATGCGTAAAATCAAGTTTTTTCTTTCTATAAATCACGGATTTATATTATAATATAAATCCGTGTATAAATACAGGATTCATTTTATTTTCATCCAGTGGTATGAAAATAAATATTTCAAGCGTGGCGGAATTTTCCGTGAAAATACGTAAAATATGATTCAGTGAAAAATAAATGTTAACAGTGAAAATACAGAAAATGAAAGTACGCATTTTATTTCATCAATATTTCATTTAAAATTATATAATAAATGTAAATATCGAGTGTGTGATGAGAGCATGAGCATGTATTTTTAAAAGGTATTATGCTATAACTTATGATTTTTTATGAAATTTTAAAACGGTTAAGTTATTTTGTTTCCAAAATATTATGGTCGAATCTCAAAAGAATTGAAACGTAGAATAGTTCTAATATTTCACTAACATGAAAATTGAGCTTAAAAACCGAATAATATTTTCCGAACAAATATCATGCTGCTTTTTAAACTTGAAGTTATTTAAAATGTTAAACCATTTAGAAACGATTTAGGTGCTTGAGCATCTTGCTCCAAAGAGAAAAAAACCAACATGTTTCTTTCACATACAGGCAATTTTTAAAAATATTCTTTTTCAAAAATTCAGACAAGTATTTACTTAACTGCAGCATAGATATATCATTAAAACATAGCGTATATGCACTTAAAAATTCCGTTATTGATTCAATTGAATTAAGAATTTACTGATAACATTTTTTATATCGATATATCTTCTGTTATTAATAACACTGAGACAAGAGTTTACGTGTGGAAAAATATACCCAGTGCAAATATCTTTATACCCACCACTAGAAGTGTGTACTTATGAAGTTATGATCTTAACATTCATTCGATTTGGTTAAGAACTGAGTCGTTTTTTCGAGAGCCGCGTCACGACAAAACCAACATAATGGGTTTGCGACCAGCATGGATCCAGACCAGCCTGCGCATCCGCGCAGTCTGATCAGGATCCATGCTGTTCGCTATCAGTTTCTCCACTTGTAATAGAGATGGTAAGCGAACAGCATGGATCCTGATCAGACTGCGCGGATGCGCAGGCTGGTCTGGATCCATGCTGGTCGCAAACCCACTATGTTGGTTTTGTCGTGACGCGGCTCAAATGTTCTTTATAGGAGCACCACTGAGGCCCAAAAGCGTTTAAACATAATACTTGAATTTGTTACATAGATAAGCTGGAACACATAAAACAGAAAGATATGCAAAAGACAATTGAGAAATATACTTTGAATAAAATTTAAAATCGCTTTTTTTTGTGCTATTCTTAGTCCGATTTAAGTGAAAAGGTTTTTATTATTTTGGGTCATTATTCGTAATTAAGATAATTACTCTGGAAAAACGTTATGAGCAATTGGTCTGAAAATTTGAATACAAGTTATTAGTGTAGACCTACACTAAATGGAACATTAACATTGAAAAATTATTTCAAGTCAGTCGCGTCAAAAAATCTAGGTGTAGTACATTTTATTTATTGTACTGTAGATTATTCTATAACTATTATACTATTTTCTGTATTGGAATTAAATAAGCGTAAATTGTACTCCGTAATTCATATTTAAAGTTAGGGAAAAATTCATAACCTTGCTTTATTAAGTTATGTACAAAATCTAACAAAGCTTCCGTCTCTACTTTGATTACAATACAATATTTACATTATAAAGCCGGTATGATTATTTGTAAGTTGTAAAAGCAGATAAGAACAGACAAAATAACTTTCATTGTTAGGCAAATGAGAGTACTCGTATACCCATGCATTGCTTATATCCTTAGAGCGCCAACAATTTTTCAAGCAATTTCATAAAGACCCCGACCTCTATACATGTTGCCTTTTAGTCAAAATGATTTCAAAATGATTGTCTTTAACTGCATGAAAATGTGATTTACTAAATGGTGTGAGACATAAATACTCCCGTTAGAGTGCTTGGTTGTAGTTAAGTTATGACATGGTTTCATGGTAATGTACGAGCGACCCCCTCGCGACCAAGTGTTATTGCCCTAAATATCTAACTTTTCGCACTCAAAATACATTAATATATGTTCACGGTAGATCTCCAATTTTTCAATTTTGTCGCAATCGCACGGAAACGCGTATTAACTTGATACAGTGGTTTTAATAATTGTCCTTGACCTCGAGCATACCACGTCCAATAGGTCTATAGTGTCAATTCTTGGGCCACATCCAAACTTCATACATAAATATGGAATCTTTGGAAGCTAAAAAAGTGCTATTTTCGTGATTACGTTTTGTTATGTTATGGCCTTGAAATGATATATTATTTTATCAATACGTTTTCCGATCATATCTAATATTATAACACATCTTCTCTTCGGGTTTAAAATTTGACATTGCTGCACGTGTTGGTTATTAGTGTACCTATCTAATACCCTGAACAATCATAGACATAGCTACGTCTTTCTATAATTTTTTCTGACAGTGACTGTCGGGTATAACGATGATTGTGTCATTTTTGTGATACGGTAAATTGCAATAAAACCATGCGATCTCTTAGACTAACGTGTCTGCAGATGACCTACTATCATAAGATATTTATATAAGATATGTTCTCAAAGATCTTATCAATTTATTAATTTATCAAAAAAAATATTGTGCTTTTAAAAAGAAAATTTCCCAAAATTTAATAAAAACTTAATTTTAAAAGGGGCGTTTAAATTAAAAGGGTTTTTTATTTTAACCATTTTTTCTTTAAATTGGTTTTAAAATTTATTTGTAAAACGAACATAAATATATTTCCATGTATATACACACGTGATGTAATATGCCACATGTTTTATCTATGTTCGTAGTTTTATAGAGTTTTATAGATGATCAAATAAATCCGTCTGGCATGTTTGCTTTCATTCCAGACATGTTCGATCCAAAACTGTGTTGTGAATTTCCTTTCTAATTCTCGACAGAAATAAAACTACAGAGGCACATAGGCACAAATATAAGGATTATTTACAAAAGATGCATGTCTTGAAATTGTAAATTCAACGTTTATTTAGATATAACATACATTTCAAGCATTCTAAAGCCATTTGCATTTTAAAGTGGATTGGTCTACAATGGGCACATTTTCCAAAATACATTGAAACTTAAAATATTGATAAAAAATAAAGGAAGAGTATCATTTGGAGATTCTTATAAAATATTTCTTGAAAAAAAAAAGTGTTGAAAAAGTTCTTAGTGCAAAAATTACAGAAATAATTAATGAAATTATTTTGTTCTAGAGCACATTATTTTCTACTATATACAGTTATAGACATATCATATCGGATCATGCACCACATAGTCATTAACATCCATATGAGCCACGTCACGACAAAACCAACATAGTGCGTTTGCGACCAGCATGGATCCAGACCAGCCTGCGCATCCGCGCAGTCTGATCAGGATCCATGCTGTTCGCTCTCACTCTCTCTACTTGTAATATGGTTGGTAAGGGAACAGCGTGGTTGGTCTGGATCCACGCTGATCGCAAACGCACTATGTTGGTTTTGTCGTGACGCGGCTTATATGTTTTTTTTTGTGGTCTGTGCATGCATGATAACATAATTATTGTTAACGGTATCTAATGCCTTCCATTGTGGACCAATCCACTTTAACAACTTGTGCCGGCTCGCCACGGCGAGCCGGTATTACGGTAGGATTTTACTGAGAAACAACCTAAAACTCCGAAGCCATCCAAAAATTTAATCGAAGCTTGGCTTCCAGCTTTCTACAAAATTTATCTATCAGGGCTAGGATCCAAAATTATTTAGCCAATCAAATTTAATCTTACATAGCGTCAAAAAACCTTCAATTTTCACGCCATTTTTAAAAACCAGCAAGTATTGTTTTGAGCGCAAAGATATAATGATGATTAAAATGTTTGTCTTAATGAATTCTTTTCAATAAATCATATTTACACTGACTTCTGATTTAGCGATTTCACCTGTTTTCTCTGTAGTAAGTTTTCGTTTGGTTAATTAACATAAGTGTACATCTGGTTCTGTGCATTTTTTTTTTCCGGTCATTTTATCCTTTCCGGTATTTAGTGTATACTAGCCGGGATCCGGGACGCTCGGGATCCGGGATCGTATAAGATATGGAGGAAAAACCTAATGAACTATATTTGTGTTGATTGTTGTCGTAATAAAAGGCCATTAAACGTTATTTTTTTATTGTATATAATGAACGTTAAATTAATTTAACTTAGAATATAGATATATTAAAAGCTATTTATTAACAAACTTAAAATGCGAAAATCACAATACTTATAATTATATGCCTAATTAATTGGAAAAATCAAAGACTATTTTCTTGAATTGGCCAAATCCCGGGATCCCTATATGTTTTAAAACGATCCCAGCTTTTCTGAAAACTATATCCTTGAACTGGCCAATCCGTGAGATCTATTTACATTTTGATACGATCCCGGCTTTTTCTGAAAACTATATTCTTGAACTGGTCAATTCCCGGGATCCCTATATGTTTTAATAGGATCCCGGCTTATCTGAAAAACATCTTCTTAGACTGGTCAATTTCCGGGATCCCTATATTTTTTAATAGGATCCCGGCTTTTCTGGCTAAATTGATTGACAACTTGTGTTTACTTTAGGACTTGTGCCTCTCATTCCAATACTAAATAACATACATGTATTACAACTTAATTTTGTATAAAGAGACATCTTTATGAAAACGACCTATCTAACACTTTGTGGTCAAGGTCAACAGGCCATATAGTAAATGTGCATAGACATAGGTTCTTCATTCTATCTGTTTACATGCACCTTCTTATATACTCATACTCATCTTGGTTAAACTGAGAGAACTTTATATGTCACTTTCAGTCAATGAGTTTAAGATTTTGAAATTACTGGCTTTTTGATGTTCGCTGAAGTCTCTTCAGCT